AAAGAAAGCAAAAAAACCATATTTATAACCATTATAGAGGAATAGTTGTGGTCAATTTATTTTGATATTTAGCTTAAATTTGTGGTTGCAACTGACATTTCTCTAATAAGTTTTTATACATTTTCATTGGTTTGGTTTTATGCTTTTTTTTTTTTGTGTTTTTTGTTTTTGTTTTTTTCCCCAGATTTAAAATAAAATGCAATGTAAATATTCGCAGTATGCACCAAGAATGATAAATAGTCTATAGTGGAAAGGAAGTGTTTTCAATGCACGCAATAGCTTGTTGTTGTTTACAAACTATTTCGTTCTAATTTTTATTAAAACTTTTCTCTGACCCAATACACATACACACATACAATATTAGTTAGTTAGTTGTTGACATGAATGAAAATATGGAAAACTCTACCCAAGCAAGTCTATTCGTTTTATTAGACGATGCGTATAAAAAAATTTCTCAACTTCATTTGGCATTCTCTTGCAATAACAACAACAAACAAAAATCAAGGTATGCGGAAAATAAATTTATTTGTTATATTTAGGATTTTTTTTTATATAAAAAAAAAAAAAAAAAAAAATCAAAATAGATTAAGTCCCGCAGCATTTATGCCAAGCTGCTATCATGAAAGCAATATAATCGAAATATTTTATTCATATATTTTTGCGTCTATAGATAGATATCTAGTAAAACCTAAAATTTTATCTGAAAATTTTGGCAGAATTTGTTTCTTTTTTTTTTTTTTATGTCCGGTCATTTCGGTTGATGGCAATTTTGCGCCGTAAAAGAACGAATGACAAAGTTCCAATGATGCAAGGAGAAAAAAACATATTACAAGCATTCCAATTAAATTGTTGCCCAATTAAAACAATGTTTCATGCATAAATTCATCTGATTTCTCATCACCTGTATTCACTTTCTGTTGTCATTTTTACCTTTTATGTTTTTTGTTTTTTGTTTTGGCTTTTTAACCTTTAGCTACAAACTTAATATATGACATATGCATGTACGTACATCACTTTAATTGCTTTGACAGCAACATTGTACATTTTCCAATACAAACAGATGTAAATGCAAATTCAATCACAAAGTATCTCTATTTTATTGCGCTCAATCTGTTCAGTTACATACATGCATGCATCTATATATATATATATATATATATATACATACGCTAGCATTGACATTTTGCATATTCTATAGCAGGGTAAACCCCAAAAATTTTTTATCAACAACAAAAAAAATAAAAAAATTGAAAAAAAAAACACAAAGAAACTTTGTGTACCTACATGTAATTGAAGCTGTTAGCAAGTAGCCAAACATCTATATCCTTCCCGCCTCATCCGTTGTCTAAATCAAGAAAAATGTATAACACAAAGCATGACCTCAAAGTCTTTGCAAAAGACCTTTACTGAAAACGGCATATCAGTCTAGTACTTGGACACTCCCGCAAATTGCATTTTATACTCTCAAGCAATAGTACGTACGTTTAGTACCAAAACAAACAAACAAAAAAGAAGAACAAGAAGATGACAGAAAAGTTTCATTTACACCCACCGCACACATACACTGATACCTTTTGTTGCAATTATTATCTCTACCGAGGAAGGTTGTTAGTTTGTACCGTACAAAAATAAACGTCACAGATCCGATAGCATATAATCAGCGTTAAAGATGTCTTTCCGTCTAACCGTCTCTTAAAGTCACGGTTACGTGGTGGCTTCAAAACTCTAAAGCTTTACATGAAAGTTTCCCAGGTATCCTTTCCCAAAGTCGAGAATCACTTAAGGCGGAGGGGCATAAAAATTATCAAAAAGTCATATATACCTAAAGCCGAGTATATAAGTGATTGTTAATTTGATTTATTGACCATGAGACGATGACAAGTGTTCTGGGAAATTTGGTCCAAGAATTTTAGTCTAGAAAATAGAATATATCTCCTGGGAATGGATTTATCAAAAATTGTTCATAAGCTGACGATGGATATTCGATAATTCGTTGCTTATGATAGCGTTTATCGCTTATTGTATCATATATTTGATATATATGTTATAAATAATTTACGATATTTTATTGCAGAAGATAGCTAGCGTTACAGTAAGATCGACGAATATGCATTAAATGGAACCAAATTATCTACCAATTTGCAAACAACGTGGATAATATCCGGTCCATATTTCGCTTTATTTTCATATGGTTTCCATAGTCCTGACTATTAACTAACTTGAAGTCGAATTTGAAACTACACTATTTGAAGATCGAAACTCAACCTCAACTTTATTAAGGCTCCAAAAAAGCACTTTGTGTTCACATTGGACCTTTTTTACATATCTCAGCGACTTTTCGGTTGTTGATTTGCTGAAAAGAAGAAGGCGAAGACTTTGAGGACATAACTGAAAAAAAAAACACCTTTTTACTATAATATGAATTGGACTCAATAACCAGTTCCAAGGAGTTTTGATATCTATTTAAAAGGCGGTGACTAGGAAAAATTTGACATAAACTTTTTTCGCGACATCGTAACAGCACTTTCATCGCGTTGCTCGCTTATTATACTTGGGCTGGGCTAACCATGATGTAAACGATTTACGAAACGAGGAGAAATAGATCTATATGTCCAGGCAAAAGATTTTTTGAGGTTACGTGTTAGATTAGTTTAGGTTTTTTTAGGTTTCAAAATCCAAAAGGAGAAATACGTACCATTTTGCTTCGACTATGGACTCTGATCAGCATCTACAACGCTCTTTATCTGCGACTATTGTGCTCACAGCATCTACATTGCAACTGACATCGTTCGAAGCGATTATCGTGAGTGGACCAAGTTTTATAGAGATATCTTAAAGTTTATATGCCATTGGTCTTCTATTTCAATTCCTCGGTCATTTACACAACTGAAAATTCACTTAGAACCTTATACCTACAGATATGTAATGGGAGCTCTAAGTCACAAACGGAATAACAAAACTAGTAAACCCTGTTTTGCGTTGGTGTGTGGAAAAATGATTGGTAACGTAAAAGTGGGTGGTGTCATGCCTGCATTATACGCACTTTTGGCTTTTTCGTATTTCTGACGAAATTATTATTCTTCCATTCTTTGTTGAATCATATGAACGGAATAAAAATTTTTTGATTGGCATAAAAGTTCGAATAACTTTGTCGTCAAACGCATGCACGAATCTTTTATTGCGTTACAACGACAGCAATTATTTTACGTGGGATGTATAAAGGGGACGATTGAAAACTTACTGAGTCGGTAAACCGTAAATTTGCTTACAGCGGACTTGTTGGCTGAAATTATGCTCTTGTAACGACTAGATATATATTTACATAGATATACAAAACATACCTCATATATAAGCCAATAATAATTTTAAAACACGCTTCGTAATCTACTCAAATTCTTGAAATAGGTGCACGCATTAATGTTATTTACATATGGGATAGAAAAATGTTACTTTTCTTTTAGAGTAATTATTTTCTTCTTCTTTTTTTTATACCCTATGTCACTTGTAGTGCAAAGGTATATTAAATTTGTGCGGCTGCATTCACCATTCAGACAGACTTAATGTACATCCGACTTATTATTATACTGATCGGATCTAAATCAATTTATGCTCGTCTCTCCGTCTGTCTTCTTTTTTTGCTTTCCATCTATGAGCAGCGAATTTTTCCAATATGTTGATGGAATTCGGTACAGTGGCTCAATCACGAGCACTATTAAAAATAATTCTGGTCGCATCACTTTTTCGATCGCTTACCATATAAGGCTTTATTTTGAAAAAGTCGATTTGTCGATAAATGTGGGATGGTGTAGGATGTTTAACGGCCGGCTGTGACATATGTACGTAATTCGGCCTTTATAAGCTAATTTGGCATCTGGACTGTGGTCTTTTTGACGTCCGATATTTTAACGTTTGCACCGTTTTACAATCCGTCACGATACAACAACATTTCCCTTGAAATTAAGTAAGAAAAGTTAGTCTGCCTACCTTTAACATTTTCATGTGACTAAATTCGTCTGATTCAAGGCTCGCGAACAGTGCGTTTAACTGAAGCATTTCTATTATTGCATAAAGTTTAAAGATGGTAAAGTCATAGTTTGCTGCACACACACATTTTCTTTCATTACTTTCATTCGTTACCGGTAAAAAGTTATTTATGCGCTAAAGTAAGTTTTGCTCATTTGCTTGCCAAACGGAAATACACTCGAAATTTCCTGCAGACTTTACAGTTTATGTTGTATGCAGTGATTACCAAACAAAAAAAATGAACCGAATATACAAGATAGTGAGCGAAAGTTGATAGTTCTCGATAGTTTTTGGTCAAGTTGCGGATAACTTTTATGAATTTTTATAGAAATGCGTTGGACAAGACGCTCGAGAACGTCTTAAATGGATTGGATGATAAAACAAAACTAGAGCAATCTTTTTTTAGACCCGTCACGGAACGATGAAAGCCGACGAATTGAGATATGACGGAGCAGCACCAGAACAATTTTGAGCTCCAATGATTACCGTCGATATAGATTAAATAAAATATTAAATGAAATACTGTTATTTTAATTAGAGGAAGAACAAAACCAACGAATTCAACCGTTATGTACACTGGCATTTCCCATTTCTTTATCATTTTTACTTCGAGAAATCGCTGATCAAAATTTTTGCAAATATCTAATAGTTAACTAGGAAAGCTAACAATCCAAGGTGAATAGAATTTCTTCCTTCCGATTTTAACTGAAAAGTCATGCTGTTATAAAACGCTAAATATGCGTACACACACGCACACACACAAAATAAGTATAATATCTTTGAATGAATTTTGAATTATTTCGAAAAAGAAAAAAACAAAATGTCATTGAAAACTTAAAGTTCTGGAAAATGTCTTTTGAAATGTCTTTTAAATAAACTTTTACATACATATATATTTTTTTTTTTCATAATTTTCCATTTCTCTTTTTCAATGTGCTGATGTAATGGGTAAAATATAAAATTTCATCTTTATGCAGCTGTTAGTCATGCCGAAGTCGTTACAAATTTTGATGTAATCGCGTCAGAGTATACAAGCAGCTCGGCATTATATTCCTCATCATTATCATCACCAGCCTCTTCCTCTTCATCAGCGGCATTAACATCAGCGACGTCAATGTCGTTCTCAGTGCCAGCGCCGTCAGTGCCAGCGGCTTTGACAGCTGACACAATTCAAACTTCTGCGTCAACATCGGCATTTGCGGAGCCATATCTTGAAGGTTTTGCCACAACGAATATTACCACACAGATTGGTACGCATGCATATCTGCCATGCCGGGTAAGTTGAGAAAAACAAAACCGAAAACGAAAAAAAAAAAAACGATTCTCTTATTTCATCCTATTTAGTTGTTGTAAGGATTAAACACGATGGGTGCATGTTTACAAAATGCGTTCAATTTCAACAGTTATAGCAGAGGTGTGAGGTTAATTATTCGTTTTACTTTCCATCTTGACATCAAACTATACGTTAGCTTGTTATATAAGCAGCTTCTCTTGTTAGTTTTCGTATTGCTTTGTACATTGTTTTATATTTACAGTGTAAAATAACGTAACTTTGCAAACTTGTAAGTACATACACATATATATATGTATATACATATATATATATCTCTCTCTCTCCCTCTGCATATAAAACAAATTAATTCTCAAGTAAGTTACGGTTGTACCACGTTTCTCTCCTTCTAATCTCTTGCGGTTATAATATTTGATGAAGTTAATCAGAAAATATTTTAAGAAGAAACTTCAACCGCATCTATTAATTAACACTACTTCACTACTCGTTTTTCTCTTTTCTTCTTCTACTTATACATAATGAGGAGTTATCGTCAAAATTCTTTATATTCCTTATATTATTATAAGAATAGAAAAGTTACTACTACTACTACTAATACTAATACTACTGCAAAAACCATTGCGACAGCCATTTGCCTGGTATAAGGATCTTTCGCTTGAACAGAAATTTATTATCATTGCGATGCTTAGAAATACGTACGATTACATTAGTAGGCCATGTATGTATTAGCACGAGCATGAAATGCTAAATCGAATTACTGAGTCTTTAAAAAACTTTGTTGCAAAACTTTGCGATACATAATCTGATTATAGTAGGCGCCCCCTCTAACACATGTTTATAGAAAACGGATTTGTATAATACGGCGGAAATATTTTGTCTATGTTCGTATCGGAGACAGAGCAGTTCGTATACATTTCTCTCTCTCTTTCTCTCTCTCTCTTCCTCTCCGTTTCTCTAAGATAAAAAAGAAGCTTTTCTTATGCAGCGTCCTGGGTTCTTTGTTGTGCTACGTTCTCTTGAACTTCGGAAACAACTCGAAGAAAGTTATTTTAAATAAGACAAACAATTTAATCGCTTTGGGCTGCGACTGGCTCACGTATTTGTACAATCTTAGCGAGCTTATACAACATGGAACGATTTTATAGTGATGTAGGGAGATGTACTGGAATTGACTACACAATTAATTCTTTGGCAATTTTCCGAATTTCGTTCGAACTAGTTATACAGTACAGTACATGTGGTACAAGGGTATATTAAATGCAACACCCAGAGTTGGATCCATGTTTCATTCTGAAACGTCTGTCCATCTGCCTCACGCTTTGTCAACTAATTTCTAAGCTATTTCCGTGAAATATTGTACACTCGTGTGTTTTGACGCAAGGACAAACACTATTGAAATGTCTCTCACTATTGAGTGTCTCGCTTACTGGATGCGATCCACATCGATCTTCTCTAATAAAAGAAGTGTAGTGACGTCAACGAACAATTTCTTCATATAGCAACAAATTCCTTTTTAACCTTTTGATGAAATAATACAAGCTAAGAAGGGATAATGGTATCCCCCGTTCCAGGCTAATCCACAGGTCGATTAATTCTAAGACTTTCATGACTGTGACCTTCATAATAAAAGAAAATTAAAGCAAAAAGCAGAAAAATTTTAGGCCTCGGTGATTTTCCCGATTTTTTTACATGTACTATAGACCAGAGGCTGTATGTTGAAATTTTCATAGCTTTTATTCCCCTATACCGCCTTTAATACAAGGATATATTGCTTTTATGAGGACGCAAATAACACCTAAAAGCACTTAGATAGGCCCACGCTTCATTCAAAATCACTTTGTGCGTCGATTTAAAATTGCCTGTCCCTCCGTCCGTTTTGTTTTGTTTGGTTCAGTTTGCAGGTAGCAAATTTTGAGTTCCCTTAAGTATTTTGATTAAGTTTCGGTCGATTCAGTATCAGTTATCTGTCCGTCTGTCCGTCTTGATTATTTTTAGTCAACTTACAGACTACAATTTTTGAGATATTTTTAGGTATATTGACATGGTTTGACCCAAGGACGAATTATATTAAAAATAATTCGGATCGGCCCACTTTTTCGCCCACGTCGCATATAACCACTCACTTTAAAAAGTCACTGTATGAACAATTGTATGATAATAATAATAACAGCAGGCCGTGTAACACTATAGTGTTTTTGTTTTTTTTTTTTTTTTTTTTTTTAAATAAGTGTCCCCATATTAGGTTGTACTGTAAGCGTGTGCTTTGACGTACTTGGCACGTTTACAATATCAAGCTGTGTGCAAGAACTTCGAGAGATTTCGTTAAATTTGAAGCCGTAACCTTCACTTTTGCCATCAGGAATATTTTTCCTACAGTCGGACACACAGCTATGCATGAGAAATTTTGACAGGCGTCGTTTAAATGTTGACACCTTAGTACGCTTAGTAGGAATTTCTACTTTTATTAGACACCCTTAGGAAAAACTGACCCTTTGATTATAAAGCAACAATAAAGGTAAATATACTCAATGAGAATGCTTACTGCAGACGGACACACAGGCATTCACAAGAAATTCTGATAGGCATGGTTTGAGTCTTGATACTTTTCTACGCATAATGCGAATTCCTTGTTCTATTAGATGTCCTTGGGAATAATTGCTCCTTGTGTGATAAAGCAACAGTAAAGGTAAACATAGTCAAATAAGATAGCCTGCAAGCTCACTTTTCTTCGATAAAACCAATTCTCCCTCAAAACTCTGGGCGAATATCTCAATCTCACAAAATTTATGTGAAAGAGTTTTCCTTGCACTAAACCTTTGAAAATTCTATATGGATTCCAAAGTAGTGAAACATTTAGTATAACTTTTTTACGCTCACATCACAAATATACCACATTGTCGCTATGTTACAGGAAAAGTAAAAAAAAAATCGCACCACAAACATTAGGTGTAAGCATCTAAACGTAAAACAAATACGTAAACTATTATGAAGTTATGAACTTACCTCACTTATTGGGTGCAATGACACACAAATTGGAGAAGCAGGAAACCCATATGAGCATCGTCCATCTGATAAAGTGTAACGCAAAAATGCTATTAGCAAAATGCAAAAACAGTAGCAAATAATTCAAATGAGAATCAACAAGTTTTTAATAAACTAAAATAATAACAATTTCAATAGAAAAACCGCAGCTGACCGTTCAATTAATATGCCTTAAGTGCAGTAATATCTATAGAATTTACCATTGCATTCATAAGCATAGATGTACACATGTGGATATATATATATATATATATATATATATGCATATTTATCGCAATATAAGCATTATAAACTGTAGCGTATGTTTGTCCAGATGGGGCAGTTCATTTACCTAACGTATGTATATATATATATCTATATGTATATTTATAGAGAATTTTGTATTAAAGCTATATATGTACAGCGAAGTGGGAGAGAGTTAGAAAATTATATACAACTAACTAAAAGTTGTGAATCTATATAAACATATATCAGAGTGAATTGTATTTAAAGTCCAACATACGTGTATTTGATGCTTTACGAAAGCAATAATGCAACAACATGTGTTAATGCATGCATGCATGCATACATACGAATGATTGCATTGGTTTCGTATAAACTTAGTTTAGGCTACACATTTGCGCATAAATGCAATGTACGTTAGTCGATCTAATTTTATATTCATACATTCATGCATATCCGAGTAGGTATTTAGATTTTACAAACGCGTTATATGTATACGTATACGAGCATCTATGTAATGTGCAATTTTTAATTTGATTAATAAATTTATACTGCATGTGGTATATGGTATTGAAAGTCTTTGATCATTTAGTCAGACCGTAAATGTATGCATTTAAGGCAATTAAGTGGTTTTTCCTCTTCTTTTTTTTTTTACTACAAATTTCACAAAAAAAGAGACCAAGACTTAAATAAATAAATTCCAATGATTAATATTGCAAAATTGCACAGATATTGTGCAGGTATCGGTAGATGTTGAAAAACCGAGTTAATTCAAGGGGAAAAAAAAATTGTTGTCTAAGCGCAAGGACTCGATATCGTTTTACAGAGAGGCGAACAAGATTTAATTAATAAATAAATTCTAATTAAGATTACTGTTGCAAAATTCTAGCAGCTGTTGGAAAAATCGAGTTAATTGAAGAGAAAAAAAATTTTTGCTTTATAGTGCAGAAACAAATACATTTTTAGTATTCAAAATCGTTTCTGCTTTTGAACGGACATTTTTTTCATTTAGGATGGATGCTATATAAAGTCAATAGTAATTAGAGTAAGTTGGGATAAGTTGACTGTGTAAGAAATAACAATACAAACGAAGGAATTGAGACAGTTTCAGCTGAAACAGCTGATTGTCGACTGAAATTTGACATCGTTGGCCGTACCAGGCTTTACGCGTCAATATGTTAAAGTCACTTTGTTTTTCCGCCTCCCCTTGCGTAACAGCCAAGACGAGAAAACGGATTGTCCGATTATCTTTAATGTTTTTCTAGCGTCCATAGTAGTCGTTAACCCACATGTAACCAAAAAAACAATTAACCTAAAAAACAGCTCACCATTAATTATCCTACACCACCCTAGGGTTATTCATATAACGATTTATTTTTAATTTCAAAAATGATCCGATCCGAACCATTTTCAATAGTGTTCGTCCATGAGTCGAAATATATCAGTCTACAAAATTTCATCAAGATATTTCAAAAATGACCGCCTGTAGCTTGAACGCTAAAAAACAAGGCTTCCAGACAGACAGACACACATTTCAGAAAATGATTCTGAGTCGATCAGCGCAATAAAGCGTGAAGACCTTTTTGATGTTGCATGTACCCGCGGAAACTTAATATATCCTTGTACACCGCCTTGGATGTCGCCTTTTGCAGGTACAGTGATGTAAAAATACTATAGTGGGCCACAGTGCACCATTAAATGTCCGACACCACTCTACGATTGTTCATACAACGACTATTAAACATAAGGCGTTATATGGGAAGCCGTTCAAAAAGTGGTCCGATCCCAATCATTTTCAACGACGTAAATCCTTGGCTAGAAAAATGCCAGTTCACCAAATTTCATTAAGACATCTCAAAAATTGCTAACTGCGTGTTGAGCACAGGAAAGCATAGCAAACAGGTGTTTAGAAAAGCTTGCAATAACTTTCGGAATCGATGGGTATAATGAAATGTGTGTTCAACGTTCCCAAAACTGCGTCAAGAAAACGGAACGAACCGAAGTACATACAAGTTTAGGTTGATTCAGAACATGATACTGAATCTACTGACATAATCCGTGGATCTCCAGTCTTTCTTGTTATTGCATATATACGCGTAAAACAGGCGCATCTATGTTTCCGAAAACCGCCGGGAGAATACTCAAACAAAACTCTCGCTGTAGTGAGCAGATTAGGTTACCGTTAACTGACTTTTTGTCCTGAAATTGTTGCTGTGAATGGTATGATAGGACGAAAGTCAAAAAGTTCGTTTTGTTCCCATATTTTCCACTAAGCTATTTTTGCGTATATCGACTATGTTTAGGTCTACATTTGCATTTTAAGGTATGTTATGTTATTGGAAGGGTTACCGCATTCGAAGCCAATCTGTCAAAGGGGAGGTTAAATGGAAAAGGAGGTTGACTTTTCTATTCTCCTTGATCGAGTCACCGCAGCACCAATCATCACCATCATCACCACTCTGAACCGTGCGAATCCGTGTGTTAAGTGCCGTATAGATTAAAATTATAATGCAGAATAGTGTGAATTTGGAAGCAAACGTTCGAGACTTTTATTCTGCGGTGTAGGTTTAACAACCGTAAAAATACAAATCTCGTAGGCCTTCAGAGTACTAATTATCTGGACTTATCGAATAAGTTGATTTATTTTGGGATTGAATGAAGTAGTATTATTGACGTATTAATGGATTGATTCGTAGGATAACAAAGAAAAGTCTTTGTTAAGATGAAAAACTCACTTTTTGCTATTGCAGCGTGGAATACACCAGCGAGCTTAGCTCAGGCGTTGGCTTGCAATCGAAAAAATTCGAATCTTTTTAATACGGACAACGTTTGTTTTCAGTAGGACAATACTACCTCATATATAAGCTAAGAAACAACAGGTCTATGCTGCAAAGGGTCTCAAACGTTATTACTTGTTGACAGGATCCATGCGTATAAAAGTAATCGGCTGACAAAAAGAAGATTTTTGGCAGTTGGTGTCCTTAACGATGCCCACATTTGTTTGGACAAACTCTGCACATCCGTTGCCGGCCTTTGCTTCATCTCTATTGAACCTAATTTTCGATATTATATTCTTATCATTTTTTATATTATTTATCGGAGGAAGTTTCTGAATTTTTCGTTAACATCATAAGTTTTAAATATATAAACATTTTATGTTCTCTCTTGCTTTTGCACTAATGATAATAATATAATCTTCACTTTGCTCTCGTTTTGCTTATATTTCAGGTCAAGCAACTCGGAAATAAATCAGTTTCCTGGGTACGTGTGCGTGATGGTCACATACTCACCGTTGACAGGTAATTAAGAAATACTGTGTATGACACATTTTGCCCATTAAATTGTACATAAGCGTGCACATGTTTATAATTCAACGGGTATGTTAAATATCCATTCAAAGTCACTTAATCAATCGCTACAGAGTGTTCGGAACTTTTCTTTTGCAAGCATATATAAGCCATTAGTTAGTTTAGACGGCACAGTTTGACAAAATTGTGTGCTGATGTCTCTTTAAGTAGATTTTTGACTAACATTTCATTAGCAGACAGCTTGTTTGAAAGGCTGAAGCAAAAGCTAAGAAATTTGATTTTTTGTGTGCGCGTTTAAGAGGGACTGGACTGTTCATAGAAATCATTATGTATTGCATTTAGTTAAATTTCACTTTCACATTCAATGTACTAAAGAAGAAGGCAAGAATTACCTCGCAAAGTCATCAGAAATATTATCCAACTACGGAGACATTTCCACGTATGAAAGTAGACGACGAAAGTGATTCACTTCAACCTGACTGTATCACTGTCACTGTTAAGGTCAATTGGCGTCTGCCGTCAAGATTCGGTGACCTTTAGGGCCGAGAATTTACGCGAAAAGCTTCGCTACCTACTTGCGTATGTTTTGAATCAGAAATTCAACGAGAATGTCGGAAATGTATGGAGAAAATAATGTAAATGAAAGAGTGTATCGTTTATGGTTTCCGATATTTTTATTCAGATACTTTGATCGCCGAAACACATTTACGTCTCTCCCTCTCTCTCTCTCTTGGGTCGAACAAGTGGTTGCGCTGTGTCTTTTATGATCTGATATACAAATTTTAATCAAACCTGTTCATTCGAGAATGCGGTCAAGAGCTAAGGATTTTCAAAACAGTTCAAAAATACTTCACTTCAGTCGATTTTCATCGGCTGTATTCGATCAAGGTTAGACTATTGGGTGTATGAATATGATTTCGCCGTTTTCTAAGAGAGAGCGCAAGTAATACTGTAGGGTGCCGAAAAAAACTGTAACAACGACGTTCCAATATTATCTGCAAGCCCAAAAAACCAAAGGGCACAATACTGTACCAAATGCAGGTCCGTGCCAAGAAAAGCGCCATTTATAAGAAACTTTAAACAATTCGAACGACAATGTCACGAAAATCTTACGAGCGGTGAAGAGGAGGCGCGTTACGATATCTAAAGTTTAGAAAACCATGATGCAGAATAGACGAACAATTAACAGCTATAATAAAGATGATGAGCCATCTCCGGGCCGATTCCAGGGAGTGATAAAATTAGTATAAATATATGTGAAAATAATGTTATTTGTTAAGTTATTATAGGGAATTCCGCAAAATTTTATTCGCCTGTTTAACAAAAACATGTCTTTTCAAATTATATTTAAAGTTTGACCTGCTCTATGAATAGTTTAATGGCCGCAGTATATTGACTGTGCAAAGGTAGCATATAATCATTAGTTTTTAATTAAGAACTGGAATGAATGGTTGGACGAAATAATAACTGTCTTATATCAATTTATAGTAGGATTTTATTTTTTATTAAAAAAAACTGAAATTAAATTAAAAGACGCGAAGACCCCATAAATCGTTATTTTTAATTTATTAAAAAATTTATAGATAATTTTTTTTAGTAATGAATTAATAATTTTATTGGGGTGATATTGAAATTTGATAAACTTTTAATTAATAAAAACATGAATTAATGATTTATTGATCCATTATTGATGATTATAAGAATAAGTTACTTTAGGAATAACAGCGTAATTTTTTGGCGGAAGCGGGGAGTGATAATAGCTGGACGCGTTGGTCTGCGGTATGTTCCAACTAAACGAAACTGGTGTTACCAACAATAGTTGCTACAATTGGGACAAAAAATTGTAGCAACTTGTCCGAAGTGATGATATTGTCCAGTGTTCGTTCCCATAGACCGTACCTGAGTCAGAAAATTTTTGCACTTCTAAGGTGGAAAGTACTGCTCTTCCTTATTAGGGATGTTAGTCCCTCCCATTAACATGGCGTTCGACAGATGATTCATTTATTGTTCGAACGCGCCAAAGCAAATTTGGATTATCCTGTGGATAGTCTGAAAGACTGTTGTGTAATTGTCCTTTCCGCACTGAATTCGCATTACTTCCAAGTGATAGCAGAAGTAGTCACAAACAATGGGCCACATTTCGAATAGTAGATGTATAATCAGATTTTTACAATCAGCGGGCACAGGTCGAAGAAAAGATGCCAGCAGCAAAATTATGCATCTAATAAAGTGCGATATGTCTTCAACACATGTGTTTAGTGAAATCAAGATCCCCTTTATATGTATGTATTCATCGTTCGTTCTATAAAAAATTCTTGAAAACTAAAATATCAATGTGAGCGTGAATTCAAGTTTAGTTATTGACAAATACATCTACGCATGACAGGCAGAAGCATCAAGGCTTGCCTTAAAACACTCGACGGTTGTGATCATAGGCGACGGAAGTGTAACTAATATCCGTAGCACTTTCGATAGTCGGCCCAAATAGAGTAAGATAAGCATAGCAAAGAGGTATTTGTAGTTACTTTCGCGTTAGATGCTCTACAGGGTTAAAAAACATCTTAACGCTTTTATTTGAAATATCCGACGTTTTCAACGTTTTCGCTCATTTGCCCTAAAGTTTCTCATACAAGACACGAACTGGCTCATCTTTTTTTACAACTACTCGGATTGATCGTTTCGTCGGCTTTTTTTATATTGCCATAGTTAAGTCAAATGCATACAAAAGTTGCTTGCTGTTTTCCTCCTTCCTCTCGCTCTAATCCGCCACAATGTTTCCGTATAGTTAAACGCATAGTGAGCCGCTAAGAAAAAAATAAAAATCGGATACAAAGATGGAAGACATTATTCTACATGATGTTAGTTATCGGTAAAGGTTTCCATAAGGTTTAGCTCTACTTGAATTTGTGCCAGTGTCTAAGAAATAAATATACTATAGTAGAGCAGGGCCCGCTATTAAGTACCCTACACCACTCTAAAGTTATCCTCATTTCAAGTTTTCCAACTAAGGCGTTGTGGAGTAAGTGATCCAAACAATGGTCCGTCTTGGACCATTTTCAATATCGTTCGTCCTTGGATCAAAACTTATCAAATCTAGACAATCTTAAATCGATTCAGAAAATTAGAATTTAGAAAATGATTCTGAATCGATCGGTTGATCCATTTCCCAACTTGCTGAATGTTAGTGTAGGGTATAAAAAATAAACAGTAAATACAACTGCACTTGGTAACAAATGACTTTGGATAAGGAAGTTGAAAGTTCCAATTAGGCTACTATGAACGGTTAAGCTACCCAAGTAGTTGATGACAAATATCTTGGTTGTAATTGAGAAATTATGATCATAAATACATTGCCCGAATTTGTCTAATAGCACATCTTCAAGCATTACTCGGTGATAAGCTCGTGAATGAATTAATTTACTCTTCATAAGGGAAGTTTAAAAAGTCAATTAGGCAACAAAGAATATATACAATGCGTAGGTATATTATTAGTTTCGATTTTAAGTTAAACAATGGAACAATGCCTGCCTGCACATATAACTTAAATGCAACAATTACGCATAATTATATATAAATAAACAAAACAATAAGTATATATATATATATAAATATTTACATATATATTATATATATATATTATACATAAGTAAATATATGTAAAATGTATTGTGTACTTGTGCATAAACATTCATTCAGGCACAAGCCTTCAACAGTACGTGTTATTACGGAAAAACTACTTCCTGTCTGTAATGAGCAATACGCTGCCTTAAGCTAAGGGAGTGGTAGCTCGTTTCGTAAAGAATATTATTTTCCTTTCACGACTACTTATGTATAAGTATGTACGCGTATACATATGTATGCGTTATATTCACATTACAAGTTTCAGTTTTATATGCTGAAAAAGCCCGGTTTTTCTCCTTTTCGGTTGAAATGTTTTAAATCAACATTGACTTTATGGCAAAATTGGTAACAATGTCGCCATTCGCTTAATAAAAGCAACTTTTACACAGGCTATTGAATTATTCGAAAGAAATTCCCATTTTTCTTATTATTATTTCAAGTTTTTCATTTCGCTTTTCCTCATTCTACGCGCGACGGCTATATGACTTAATATAATTTTTGCAAATTGCTTTCTACGAGCAAAAAAACACTTTTAATAATGAATCAAAAAAAAAAAAAAGAGAAAAAAAATCTTATTTGAAAAATGTTTATTTAATAATGTTTTTAAATTAAAAAAAAAGAAAAAAAGAAAGAAAATAAAATAAATGAAGACGTTATAATTTGCTTAAGATGATCATTATATTTATTGATTCTCAATAGGTTTTATTTTACAAATCCTAATGAAACTATGTACGAAGAAATTCTCTTTCATTAATTTTTTTCTGCTGCTCCTCAAAAGCACTTAAATATTATTGAAATTATATGAAATTTTCAGTGAAATATCAAATACGACATTTTCAAACTCGTCGCCAATTAAGTGATTACTTTAATACCGATATTGTATCTGAACTTTAATCACAACCCCTTAACGTCTTTAGCTAGGCTACAAAGTTACTTCGAAGTAGTGGATTTTTTTATAATTGAGGTTAAGTCCGATTTATATAATAATTCAATTTGGAAAAGAATCGACTAAGATCTTGACTAAGTCTCCACAAATGCAAAATGGCAAAACTGGGGCTACGATATGCCGCTCGAATCTTCAAACGGCCTTACTAATGGGATATAATCCCTTCATATTCCAAGCAAAAGTCTATGCAATCTCTGCACGTGCTTCCGCATGCTTAAGAAGGCAATCCAGGAGAGAGCTGATCTGCATTTACTAACACATTCAAGCCGCCATAAAGGCCATAGACGGGCAAACGATAATATCTAGTTTCGTGTTGAAGTGCCTTTAAACTTAGAATGGACTATGCAAGCACAATGGCGTGCACGTAATATGGGTGTCAGGTCATTCGGATATTGTGGGCAACAAAAGGCCTGGCTGTCTAGCTAAAAAGGAGGCCCAAGGGACTTTGACAAGTCCTGAAACTTTTTGTGGCATATCAAGCAGCCGCCTTAAAAGGCTGGTATCCCAAAGGGCACAGAAAAGATCGGGTTGCCATTAGAAGCAATATGCAGATTAACGGCATACAAAAAAATTTGTGAAATCTTCCGGCAAAGCACATTATCGACTAAATCTAAAAAGAACTGACTAGAACTAAGAAGAAGTGACCTAAGCTCGGTCACAGGCTTCTACACGGGTCACAAGTTCATCAAGTGCTACCTGAAAAACATGGGTATTTTGAATAGTGAGTCGAGCAGTTTCTGCGAAAGGACGAGTGCGAGGTCCCATCACATTTTACGTGAATGCGAGGCCGTCTGCAGAACGAGATACCAAATGTTTGGCGAGCATTTTATAGCGCCGACCAGTGTATTGTGCTGTGAACCAAAGAAACTGCCAGGAATCATAAGAGTCCTAAAACTGGAGAGCTTGGGGCAAGGGTTTATAAAATAGATGTTTTAGGTTGCACAGCGGGTTAGCCACACATCTAAGCCCCTCCTCAGAGGATGTTCACCAGAAAATTCACTAGGCAGATATTACCATGCTTGCTCTGCCCGTGGACCTCGGCTTGATAGTTACGATTCTTATATACTCGGCTATGCGTAGCAACTTGAAGTACTTATATTGGAATTTTAGTAATTTCATTAAAAAGTAAATAAGTTTCTCTATCCCCATCGAGACAAAATCTAAGCAATAAATTTCATCATTACTTAAATGATCCCGAAAGTTGAGCATTACAATTCTTCCAACAACCTAACAGTTAATTTATTGGGAATGAAGTGAAGTTGGTGCTGATTTAAAAAATCTTTTCGTACATATTTATCTACATAAATAAGGGAAAGTAAAGTAATATAAATGTATTTGTTCTTGTTAACACATCATTTGCTATTGTAGACGGTTAAGTGGAAACGGTAACATTGAAAGTCATATGTGAGAATATATATAAATATATATATATATATATATGTATATTTATTTTTATAGAAATCTGGGCAATCAATTTTTATTACCATTTCTCAAATACTTCGAATGTTACAGTGAAACTTCCTTCAATTTTCAAACCTTTTGTAGTATTATCTTGAAAAGAAGTGGAAAAGAAAACGAAAAATTGAAAGAACTTTTAAGATAAATGTCACACAAAAGCATTAAGATTGGTACGAGTTTGGCAAAACTAGCCTTACAGAGACGCACACACAAATGCACACATGTTCCAATACTAATATAATCTAAAGCAATCAAAATCATGAGGAAATTCACACATACTCATACACACTCACACTCACACTTACACTTACACACCTCACACGCAGTCCGCATAAAATCCGCACACCTACACCGACATTCACTTAAACTTGAAACAATTCCGAGAGCCAGGCAATTGAGTGCAATTTTCTTTTATATTCGTATGCGTTATTCATGCACACGATTAGAGAAGCATTGCTAGAAAATGCATTTACCATTACTGGCAGTAGCGTCGCACTGACAATACATTCTATACACTACGATTATCAGCATCATTGTCATTGTATGGCATAACAAACAATTCTCTACGTATGTGTGTGCATGTGTGTGCGCGCGTATGTGTGCACACATATATCTACGGATATACATTTATATAAAAGATTGCATTACACCCAGGAAGCAATCAGTTGCGGACACAAATCAACAGCAAACTTTAAGAAATGGTTTTTATGTTTGCTTAGTTGCTTATATTTGCTGCTTTTCCTGTCTTTTTTGGTTTGTGTCTCTCTTTTCAATGTTGACGTGAAAGTTCGTTGGAACGTTTCTTACTATGCACAGTTCGACTTGCAATTTTTAAGTGTTTCTTTAAGAAGAAGAAGAGTTTTCGTATCTTACTTTATTTTTTTTTTTTTTTTTTTTTTTTTTTTTATTGATTGCAAATCTAATGTTTGCAACTTCAGTTCCATTTATTTTACTCGTTATATACAGAACAGAGATTATAGAAAGTGGTACTCATTATTCATTAGTCATGCGATAGTATCGGCTTTTCGCGAATAACTCCGTTTGACTTTTTTTAACTATCATCGGATTCGCTCACCAAGAGTACGATCACCATCGTAACGCGCATGATATAGCTTAGAAAATAAAAATACTTGTAATCGCGAAGAACATGAGTATTGCTGAAAATCTAGCGGGAATAAAAACTATCCGATCAAAAAATTCCAAGAATTTTCAATATTTAATATTACTGTAAAATGATGAATTTACGCTCTTTTGCTAGCGCAGCTTCAATTTTAAAAATCAATGATGAAATGACATGCTTGACATCGTCTTGGGTTACTTCCCTCGGTTCCGTCTGCTGTAAAACATCCGAGAAAGTGATGATCACCACAAGTCACTGCAGAATACTGCACCAAATTTATTTACACCATCAATTCTTATAAATCATAGCTTATAGTGTTTTGCCGGTAACAGGCATATAATGTGTATTTTTTCCTTGTACTCTTAGAAGCCTCTCGGAAATGTCTTTAACAGATCTCTTTGTTGGTTTAACGTGGGTGCACTTCCTTGTCGATTTAACCCCACGGTGCCCGATGACACATGCGTTCATTTTACGTCCAAAGAGTTAGACAATCAATATAAGCTAGGGGTAAACTACACAAGAGAAACCAGACAGGTTTACTGTTTATGGCTCAATAAGCCCACTCTGGGGAGTCTTGAGACCTGTCATTACTTGTAATTATTCGCTTTAGAAATGATAAAAACCACAACTATCACGATGCCCTCCGGAGATCCGTACCCAGCAGTGAGGACTCGCACATTGGTTAACTTTTGCGTTCAAACTGGGGACTGGACACACTCGCTTCCACCGCGGTTTCCACCTGTATGTAAATATGCAAGTCTACCGAAGAATTTTGGCAACACCAATCTGCAGTACACCATCGCTGTCAGCTTTATACGCAGGTACTCAGGTGTTATAGTTAGTGGGCTCCTGGCCACCGTGGAGCTTAAAACTAAACTATAAAGCCTTTTGTCTTTAACAATCTTCTCACCTGCATCTGCTGTGGAGTACTTCCTATATTTAACAAACGGTTCGTGTGAACTGTTTTGCCAGAGTTCATCTGTCACCATTAACTAAGATCTAGCTTAACGGAAGTATCTCAATATGAGACGACAAATCCACAAGCTGAGGAGCAGGTAGAAAAGACGCCATGAGAACAAGCGAGAAGACGAACTTAGCCAAATCCATTAAACGTCTGTGGGAAACCCAACTCAATGTACACGAAAGGCAGGCCAAGTTTGTAAATTCTTATCTGTTTTCGAACAAGCTCTGTAAGTGCCTAAAAGCTATAAACATTTAAAAGATCTAAGATGTAGTTCATAGTGTAAATCCGTCCAAGGCAGTATTCTTGTGAATACTTAGTTAGATTATCAGCCTGCTCTTGGCGTACTACATTCGAAAGATTTGACACCCAACTTTGACAACCAACCAACTGACAAGCTTATGCACAGGAATGTCCCTCTGCTGCGGAGCGCCTACGATAGACAAAAGTGGGATCGAAGACTATATAGCATTAGATTAAGTTTGCAAATGGATGTTTTCTACCTACAGGCACACCTACAAATCTAGTCTGCAACACAATTCATATAGTATTGGTTTAGGGAAAATAGTATAAAAAATTACTGCCACTAGACAGAGTTGAGTGTCAATAATCAGACCGAAATCAGGTTGGAAGTCAGGAGAAAGTTGAGAGTTTTCCATGGTGACAGTTTTGCATTTCGTCAGTCTTGGCAAAAGTTATGTTAATATAAAAATGGGTATAATTTCTGAGAAAAATTTCGCTATCTTTTGCAATTTTCCAACGAAAAAGCTAACAAAACAACAGACAAGCCCTAAGGAGTTATGAAAAAGAGGTCAGCATTGTACTTAAATAGAATTCGTTTTGAATAAAAGAAAAGTTTAAGACAACCATCATCAAAATATCTCTTAATACTTTTTCTCGAAACCAATATCTTCCAAAACCATCTACCAGAACCAGTTTAGAATATGCGATTGTAAAAATGGTTTTGATTGCTCCACCATAAAGTACTTTGGAATTTTTTAAATATAATCTTCAAATAATGCTTCTTGCAGACGTAATGCTTATTGAATGTTCGTGCAAACGTTTTAATAGCGAAAGAAAAACGCTTTCGCCTCATTAAAAGTAAAAAAAGATACATATTTTGATGATTTCCAACTTTTGTATTCAATGATATGCTCTTTGAAATTTTCTAAATTAAGAGCTGTCTTCATAGCCGATCAACGTTTCTTAGCTTTAAAACAACCAGACAAATTCTGGACTTTGCAAATCAAATACGTGCAAGGACGTGATGCTGGTGCTTATGAATGTCAAGTGTCAACAGAACCTAAAGTTAGCGCCCGGGTGCATTTACAAGTAGTTGGTAAGTTTATTTTACTTGCCAACAATACGTCATATACAACACAAGTTAAATAAATTTTAAAAATATTTCATTTCTTATCTTTTCTATGTTATTTATTTTTCATACAGACATATAATAAATTGGCAAAAAAAAAAAAAAAAATGGAAAGAAATCCTCTTATATATTATTTTCTCGTAATTTTGGTATTGAAATCACATTTGTTACGCATGCTTGATTTCATATTTGTAAGCTTTTTAAAAGTTCACAATTCAAAACTTTGTTTTTCTCTAATATTAAGCTTCCGCTTGCATAGACACATTCTTCTCATACCCATCACCAGAAGGCATATTAATTCTGTCATCCCTCAGAACAATACCAAAAAAAAAGTACATGCATTTTTAAAGCCTCACACTACACACTATTAAGTACATACTCACTTTGTTATCTCCTTTGTCATATCTATCAGAGAGTTTATGAAATACATATATCCCTCTGGTTTTTAACTCTTTAATGTCCCTACGATTAACTCGATTAGGTTAACTACTTTAAATGGCCTAAACAGACTACACTAGACCACTCAATCGAACTAGGTTAGTTCATTTAATTAACCCTAAGCAGATCAGATTCGGCAGCCCAAGCTAATTAGATCCGTTCAGCCAAAGGTAATTAGACTAGTTAGCCTATGATCAGCGTAGCTAAACCAGTTTAGGCAACCAGAACAATGTAACCAGACTAGACTAAGCAACCTAAGCAAGTTATATTATGCAGCCGCAACAGAATTCATTAACGAGCCGGAGCAGTAGCCTTCGGTCTAAAAACACTACACTAGACCACTTAACCGAACTAGGTTTGTTCATTTAATTAAGCCTAAGCAGATCACATTGGGGAGCCCAAGCTGACTAGATCCGCTAACCCAAAGGTGATTAGACTAGTTAGCCTATGCGTACTAAACTGATCAGCGTAGCTAAACCAGTGTAGATAACTAGAACAATGTAACCAGACTAGACTGGGCAACCCAGGCAGGTCATATTATTGCAACCGTACCAGATTTGATTAAGGGACCGAAGCGATATCCCTCGGTCTAAGAACGCTATTCTAGTCGACTTAGCTACTAACTGACTAGTCCCGTTAACGTAAGCAGACTAAATTCATTAAACTAAGGAAGCGATACTCGCAAGCCCAGGTACACTGAACTCATCAGCCTAACCTGTCAGTCAGTTAAGACTAACCGGCCTAAGCAGAATACGCTGATCAGTGTAAATTGTTTAACCAAACAAAACTAAACAGACTAAAAAGATCAACAACGCGACATAAGCAGACCAATCTCATCAGACGGGACTTCTTAGTCTAAGTAAACTAAGCTCGTTAATGTAAGCAGGCGACGTCAAATTAGACTAGTCAGCCAAAGCATCATCATCCAAAGCAGACTAGATTAACCAGCCAAAGCAAACTGGACTTAAACAAACTAGGTTTGTCAGTCTAAGCAAACTAGATCAGATGCTCTTGGTTGATCAGGCAAATCTGTTTAAGTTGACTGCATTAGCAAATTAGATTAGAGAAAATTAGATTATTATATGACATAAGCCAGAAGCAAATAAACGGGCTAAGGGGACTAAACCGTATAATTTTGTCGGAACTTTGTACATCAAAAATTGACGTTATTTGCAAAAATCCTTTTTTAATAGAAAATTACAGAGTAAAGTCAAAATTAGCAGAAATTCTACTTGTTCCTAAGTCTATTAATATAACCTATAAAAAATACATAGGATATACAGGCTTGTACTTATACTACAGACCGCTACGGAGACACCAAATAAACTAGTGAATTAGCTTTTTCAACGATTAACATGAAAAGCCATAGATCAGCTCGCGCCGAGGAGAATATTTGGATACCCTTCTCTTTTTCAAAGTCAAAAGATACTCTTCCCTTTTCAGTCTTCTGTTTCTTTTAATAAGCACTTGGTCCAAATCGAATTGGCAATTATTTTGTAAAGAAATGAGTAAAAGAATAGAATTATTTTTTTTAGAATTTACAGTTAGGCAATCAATATTCATATTGGTTAGGATGCAATTAGAATACAATCAAATTTTTTTTTTTTTTTTTAAACGAATATGTGAAATTTCATTTTAATTCCATTTACTTATCGATGCGTATTTCCTCTGCGCAGACCCTTTCAGTAGAGTAGAATACTTTACAGAAAGAAAAATTAAGATTTTATTTTATAATACAAAGAAAGAAGAAATTTTCTAATTGAAGGAAAAAGTAAATTAAAAGGTTGGGTCTGTTAAATGTTAATACGTAATACTTTTATTAAAACATATATAATAATAATTAGAATTGTTTTAAAAAAATTCCAATACTTTCCTGAATACTGTATTTACGGGCATCTGTCCGTGTACAAGACACAATAAGGAATATACAAAACTTGTACTCAAACAAATCAATCTTACACTTAGAGTACATATCGTGGGCTCTCTCAAATTGCCATAAGATCTGCAAATGATAGATAAGAGACGAAGAAAAGGAAGAAGAAATCCTTTTGTAAGCATAATACCAAAAGTGCTGTGTAAGGACTTATAGCTTTTTTTTTCTATTTAGCAACTGGAAACAACGAAAAAAACACTTAAGAGAGTAAGAAGCAGTGTTTTATAGTTTTTGAAAATCGAGGAATTAGAAAATAAATTTATATTTGACCTAAAATTGAGGCAATTATTTTGAATCACTCATAATTGACATACAAAATGATTTCAATTACTTTTCGTATGAAGATAAAAATACATAATATTATCCAATATAATTTGAATTCTCTTTATATATATATATATATTTGGGTAAATAAGAATTTTAAAAAATTTGTTAATATAATAATGTAAATACGCATAAGAATATTCGACTTGAACTAAACTACAAGCACTCTTGTACACTATAAAATAATAAAAAAAAAGAAGAAGAAAAAAATCGCAAAGAAAATATGTAGAAGAAAATCTCTGTTTAAGTTTTTAACGAGAAAAGTTTTCTAAAATACTTTTATATGGAAATTCATATTTAGATATACAAACATATGCGTATGTAAGTATGTACGCATCTGTCTGTATTCATGCATACAAATGCTTTTACAAATGGAAATTTAATTTTTTTTTTTTATTTTCTTTATTTTTAAATAAATGCAATAATATGTATGTAGAAAATATGTAATAGAAAAATGTAGGCCGCTTGGTATTCATGCGTTGGCTGAGAGGTCTGCATTCAATATTTTCCAAACAATAACAGGAAAACTATACTTATCTTAAACTGAATATTTTACCATCCATCATAAGCTAAATATTGAAACAGAAAAATTGTTTTATTTATTAGAATCAAATTAAAATCAGAACTAAGGTATGTATAAATATACATGCGTGACCGTACGGTAATCTATTAGGATTGGTAATAGATAACAACAATAATGTACGACATATGAAAGCGAATTATAGATAATCAATCATTCCGGAGTAATAGTTGGCGGACGGACATCAGACTGATGGCATTACAATGACGGAAAGACGGCAAGCTATAGATGGAAAAGTAGACTGTAGTGGGCCTAGTCCGGTCCGAACTATTTTCAATAACGTTCAACGTTCGTCCTTGAGCTAAAACGGGTCATTGAACCATATTTCATAAAAATATTTCAAAAATTGCGGTCTTTAGTTTGAACAGAGATAAGCAATGCGAAGAGGCGGACAGACAAACTTCAGAAAGTGATTCTTAATTAATATATACATAACGAAAGGTCGACTTACTTCAAGTCGCTCTGGGCGCTGCATATATCCTAACAAACTTAAAATACCCTGGTATAACAAGTCGTGTAACTAGAAAGGGAGCTTACTGAGAATAAACCCCTTTTTATCATCCTTCTGAATTTGAAGGGTTTTTTTCTTTTATATTTACACATCCGAGCACATTATAGACAACAGCAGGCACTGAATTTTAAATGTGGCACAACATTGTGAAGTTTGTAAACAGAAATTTATTCAGCTTAGCATTAAAAAGTAATCAGAAACAATGTAATATCGAGCTAGGTAAGGTTTTAAGGTAGCAATCGTGTGAAGTCAACAAGTTGTTGTAACAAATAATTGAAATTGTTCATTTAATTAATATCCAAAGCAATCAAGAACATATTTACATATATCTTTACCACATATATGCCGCACTTGGGCAATAAGTCGAAATGCGATATACTCTTGGCTCACTTGGAAGAAAACTACAACTTTTAAAACTCGAACTCCAGTCTATAAAATGAAAGTTTCATGACACTATCTTCTTCACTCAGTGTTTGTCCTACTTTCAGTAATAGCTCTTACCATCAATGTCGTCAAAAAAAATGTTCAAAACAGTCATTATGGCCATTACTAACCATTAGTTATTGTTTTGCTTAAATGAAAATATTCTTAAAAAGGTTTACTTTTACACGCACATACAATAATGTCGCGCTATCTATAAAGTAATGAAGAAAATTGAAGCAAAATTGTGTTTTGTTTTTTCGTTAAAAAAAAAAAAAAATAAATAAATGCTCCAGTAACGTATTTTTATTAATTTTATACATAACATTAACTTGAAGGAATAATGTGATGACATAAGTAACGGCAGTGATTGCAAATGTTTATACTTATGTTGAACAACCTTCTTGTTATGAAAAGATATTCATGAGCACATACATAAAGGTATTCTCTAGTATATTATGCAAATGAGTTCCATTTTTTATTTTCAATTTTTGTTTAAATCAAATTGCTAACAGGATAATACATTTACAGTACAGAGTAAGGAAAATCATCAAAATTGTTTCACTGCTGTTTTGATACTAAAGTACATGAATAGAAAATTAACTGATAATTTTACATCGCGGTACGAAATGAATAAATCAAATCTGAATTTAGAAGCAATCGAAATATTATAAAATTAGATAAAATTTATATTCATATCACTAATGAGTTGAATTGAGTTAAATTATTTAAACAAAAAAAAAAAAAAAAATGCTTAACTT